ATCATTTCTTTAACACCCCATTGTTGAGAACATATAATATTTTAGTTAATATTTTAGTACATAAATCTTTGTATACATTTCCAATTGATTCATGGAGTTTCTTTCTACTTTTTAGGCCCTCAATACTTGAGAAATAGCCTTTAGAAAGATTGTTTAATTTACACTCTCAGCAACTGGATATGATTACACTCATTCCATCACATCCTTACCAGCATTGGGTATGATGTACTTCTAAACTTTGGCAGTTTAGAGAAAATGATATCTTATTTTGATTAGCATTACTTTATTAGTGCAGTTATACCTTTTTTCAGATGTTTATTGGCCCTCTATAGCTCTGTTATATTTTTATGCCAATGAAATTTCATAAAAATGATCACTAAAGATAGGCTTAAAGAACAAGAATACAACAAAGGGAAGCTGGAAGCCTGAGGGCAATGTAGGGGAAAGGATATTGCAGCTGACCCCTGTGGCTGGAAGCAGGACTTACGGCTGTATGTGTGCATATGACATATGGTCATTTGTACGTGACCCTCAGAAGCCCAGGCTAAACCACACTGTATACCCACTATCAGGGAAGGGAAGATAGAGCATTGGTCAGATTTGTTTCCCAGATCAAAGAGCCTGGGTCTCCCACTGGCATCAGCTAATCTGCTGTAGCTGGGCTGGTTGTAGGTCCATGTAGGTTTACCGGATGGCAGAAAAGAACCTGTTATTTGGAGAACTGCCTGGTGCTCATCCCCAGGATCACTGAAAGACATTGGCAAGGAGTATTCACTGTGTAACTCTAGTTACACAGAATCACAAATTTTAAGAACTGACATTTTTGTAAGATCTTCTTTTTTTTTTAATGTTTATTATTTCTTTTTTGAGAGAGAGAGAGACAGAGCTACAGCTGCCAAAGAGCAGAGAAGGAGGGAGACACAGAATCTGAAGCAGGCTCCAGGCTCCAGCTTGTCAGCACAGAACCTGATGTGGGGCTTGAACCCACAAACTGTGAGATCATGCAGGAATCAAACCCACAAACCATGAGATCATGACCTGAGCCGAAGTTGGACGCTTAACCAACTGAGCCACCCAGGTGCCTTCTTTAAGATCTTCTGTTCCATTATTACAGGTTGTCCCATTTGCCTGAATGGGACTTTATCCTCACTTGCAAATTCAGAGTCCCAGGTCAATAGAAAATTTTCTTCTCTTAGTTTATAAGTTCAAAATAGGCTTTTTTTTTTTTTTTTTTAGCTGAAAAGCGTGGATCTAAGCTTACACCTTCGTTCTATAGAATGAGCACAACAAAAACCCCAGCCCAAAATTACCTATAGCAGAGCTGGGACTAGAATTCATGTCTCCCAATTTCCCATCTGACCCTCACTTGATCAGCACTGCCTCCCTGCCTGAGGGTAGACATTACCCAGTCTGGCTACACATTTCCCAAAGTTTTAAGATAATAGTAACCAGAGCACATGGACTCCAACCAGCCAATCTTGGAAAATTTTAAAAGTGGTGTCTCACTAACATTGGTTTTATAAAACATACATGTTTTCTCAGAAAACAGCTTCCTGTATGCTAGCTGTCACAGAATCAGTCTTCATTCATGGTCCAGCCCCTTTCCTGCCTCCTTTACACCTACCCTCCTTAGCTTTACATATATTGACAATGAGGAAGAAGAAAAATCCAGTTCAAGCTAAATAGACTCACTTGGAAAGTCCTGCATCACAAAGGGAAAGATCTACACTTTTCTTACCAGATGTTTCTATCTCATAAACCAGTTGGGGTCAAGTTGCTTTATTTTTTAAACATAGTGTGTAGATGCCCAGTGACATCCCGAAGACCCAGTTGGACACTTCATGATGCATCAGTCACGTGTTAAACATGGCATGGAAAAGGCTGTATTTTGTAATGACATGCCTGCCTTGACGAGAGAACTTTTCCTGGCCGTGGTAACCAGCACCAGACCACATGCTGAAATCATGTTAATAAATTAAGGGCAGAGTTGGAAAGCCATTAATACCTAGCAGGCACTTAAAGGCCTAGTTATCTATTAACAATCTTCTCAACTTAATACACTGAAGTATTTCACAAAAAAAGCAACCCCAACATTTAGCTTAGTAAAAGAAAATTAAAAAAAATTTTTTTTACATTCATTTTTGAGAGACAGAGACAGAGCACAAGTGGGGGAGGGGCAGAGAGTGAGGGAGACGCAGAATCCAAAGCAGGCTCCAGGCTCTGAGCTGTCCGCACAGAACCCGACTCGGGGCTCAAACCCACAAACTGCGAGATCATGACCTGAGCTGAAGTTGGACATTTAACCGACTGAGCCACCCAGGTGCCCCAGTAAAAGAAAATTTAAAAAGAAGAAAGAAAACTGGGTTTGGGAATGGATAAAAATGCAACCCCTTTCCAGGATAGAAAGCTGGTATCTGAAGCACCAGCTGTTTTTATCTCAGAATGTAAAGGGTGAAAACAACTTCCTCAGCTCATGAGATCCCAAAGAGCTATAATTCTCTCTCCTGTTTTTCTGAATGTCCAGCTTCCAAAGAGCCTGAGTTCCTAAAAGTGCCACCGATTGAGTATCGGTTTAGGAAACCTCAGGGATACGCCTCCAGTAGAGGGTGAGAATAACAAATGCTCTCCTGAGGATGCTTTTTTTTTTTCTTCCTCTGTATCCATCAAAGCCAATGGTTTCCACTTCCCTTTATGGACTTGCCTGGTGGTGCTTCTGTGAGTTAGGGTGGGTTCTTGGGATTCCACATAGAAGGGGGCCACATCATGCCGTGTAACACTTGGCACCTTTAGAGTTTTGTTTCCTTCTCAGTCCCATGGATGCCCCTGAGGCCCTGGCATTGCCTGGTCCATGTGAAAACTGCTCAGGATGTTCCCAGTAACAGTGGCGGCAAAGAAGAAAGACTATACAGTCCTTCAGCACAGGACGAGGTAGGACGATGATAGTGTCTGAGATTCTCACAGCATTGTAATAATACTGGCAGCTGCTGTTCCCTAGTACTATTTTCCAGGTGCCTTTATACACATGACCACATGTAGTCCTCCTAACAATCTTAGATTATTTATTTGTACTAAGCAGCTAATTTCAGAAAAAATTTAAGGCAGCTAAGAACCCTCTTAAGTTGATACAGATGTCTCCATTTTAAGATGAAGACACTGAGACTTAGAGAGTTCTAGTAAATTGCCAGAGGCCATATAGTTAGTTGTGACAGAGCCAATATTCAAACCCAGCCCCAGGGTCTCTCCCACAAGTAACCCCACACACATCATCCCAGGGCATGTTGTCCCTGGCTCAGGAGACCTTGCTGGTGTACATTTTTGTTACTTTCTGGCATGTTACTTGGCCTGTTTTTTTTTCTGCAGGTGATTTGTGCGGAGTCAGAATGTCTGTATTGTGGCTGCTGATTCATATGCTTATGCCTGGCAGGTCACAAACAAAGGGAAGATTGTGTACCAAGATGTGGACCCTGTGATTATGGCATTCAGCCAGAATTCAATCAGTCTTTGGTCATTTAACTGTGATTCTTTCCAGAAAGTTCCAAAGCATATTGTTACCACGGCACTTGTGAAACCTCTTTCTCTTGTGTGGCATTTCCCAGCTGCTGCAGAGATATAACACAGACCAGAAAGCATATTTTCTCCTAAAAATTTCATTCTGCCTTTCTTTCTCTTACTGCTACCTGGAAATGTGTCCTCTCAGCCCACAACAGATCCATAACTGTGCCTGCTGCCCGTAAGTATTCCTGGAATGTTTCTGGTTTTCCTAAAGGGAAACCACTAAGGAATGCCCCAGATTCCAGATTTGACATTCAAACCTTGGAAAGTTCAAATCCTTGTCCTTTAACATTTTTAAATTTGAACTTTATTTCTCTCAGCTCCTGTCCCATATTCCACCTACCCTAGTCTCTGCCTCTGTTAAGTTTTCTCTCACTGCATATAGAGAGCCAGCTTACCACTGAATTGGAGAACTGTCCGCTTTTTTTCTGGGCTCTTCTGTACTTTTCGTCAGGTTCCAAGGTGAAGCTGCAATCATTCCTTTTGTGCATTTCTGATAGAGCCTCTAAAGAGGGAAATAGTCATAGGCCAATGTTTGTATTACATTGGCCAGGGTAGGAACCCTGCTAGACATCCTTGGCCCCTTTACCTAAGAACAGAAACTGAAGATTTGTTTACAAATGAATACCACAGAATCACATCTCACTTGGTGTCAGCTTCCAAGTGAAAATCAAAAATGATCAAAATTAACCATAACATCATAACATACTGCACCACTACGCCAAGATAAACAAAGATAAAAAGGATTAAATTTTAAATATCAGAGACAAAATCCAAAGAGTAAAAGAGGAAATCATGGGAGAATTCCTTGACAGTATTTCTAACTATGATTCATACTCTAAATTCCATAAAAGAAAAGATTAATAAATTCAATTACATACAATAACACACTTCTGCATAAAGAAAAATATAAGCAAAGTTCAAAGACAAGCACCAATTGGAAAAATATTTTCAAACCACAACACAGACAAGATAATTTCCTAAATATTTAATGTTTTCCCAGAAATCATGAAGAAAAAGCCAATACAGGGCTGCCTGTGTGGCTCAGTCAGTTAAGCGTCAAATTTTGGCTCAGGTCATGATCTCACGAGTTTGAGATCATGAGTCCAAGCCCTGAGTTGGGCTCTGTGCTGACAGCTTCGAGCCTGGAGCCTGCTTCAGATTCTGTGTCTCCCTCTCTCTCTGTCCCTCCCCTGCTCATGCTCCATCTCTCTCTCTCTTTCAAAAATAAATAAACATTAAAAAAATTTTAAAAAGAAAAAGAGCCAATACAAAAGTGGACAAAGGATGCAAGCAGACAGATCACAGGAATAAAATATAAATGGCCCTTTTGTATATGAAGAGATGCTAGGTTTTACTACAAACAGAAGAAATTCAAATTAAAAGCTACAATGAAATGAATACCATTTTAACCTATCAGATTGGCAAAAATAGTTTGACAACATATCCAGTTGCAAGCTACGGGAAAAAAACAGGTAGTCTCTCACTTTGCTGATGGAAATGTAGACTGGAACAATCTAAGGAAGGAAATTTAGCAATATTTATTAAAATTCTAAATGCTTATGCCCCTTGACCCAGCAGCCCCATTGTGGGAATTTATCCTGCAGCATAGCTTGAACACATTCAAAATAATGTATTTTCAAGGTTGTTAATTGCAGCATTGTTTGTAATAGCATATAATATTAGAAATAATTCATGTCCATCCATCTATAGAGTGAAATTTTGTGTAGTTGTATATATTAAAAAAAAAAGGAATGAAGACATTCTCTATATGCAGATATAGAAAGATCTCCAATTTGTACTGGTAAGTGAAAGGAAAATGCAGAAAAATGTTTGTACAAAGGAGGGTCACAGAAATATTCATATTTGATTATATTTGCATATAAAAACTCTGGAAGAACACACAACCTAACAATGGCAGTCACCTTTGATAGTGGTAGGTAGAAACTAGACGGAGGGACAGGGATAGAAGCAAGATTCTTTATCAAATACATTTTTTTGTTTCCTTATTAAATCATTTGAATGTGTTTTCTACTTTTGAAAAATAAAAATTTTTAAAAACATTGCAAAATACCTTAAATTGTCCATAAAGTACAGAACATGAGGTTTCATACATATGATCCTATTCCATAATGTTTATGCAGACTAAGGTTTGAGAACAACTTGACTAAAATAAGGAACAAAGTTTAAGTTGCTATGGAGGTGTTAAGTATTGAAATCATTCTCCTTTAACATGCCTGCCAAACTCCTGGCTGGGAGTGGGTGAGAATTCTAAAAAGCACCTGCTTGCCTGGAGGGATTAGACTAATCTAATACTAAGCCTCCAGAACAAACCTGTTTGTTGTGAGAATTAAAGGAAATGAAGGAGTTCCCATTTCAATGCAGGTTCAAGTTTATGGGTAAGTTAAATATGCAGATGATGGGACTCCATGATATGGTTGGTGGTGATATTTTCTAAACTGTGCCAGGCCAGGGTACATGATCTGAAAAGTGCAGCTGTACCCATTGAGACACTAGGAGGTCCTGTCTAACATCTGTGCTGTCCTAGGGAATTCTAGGAGTGATGGTTAACATCATGTATGGTTTTCAGAGTGAGGGATGTGGAGGTGACCAAAGTCAGAAATCTTGAATTACACTACATTGGTACTGCCTTTTATTTATCTCCCAAGATGCAGTACAACACAAATAACTCATTGGGCCTACAAAAAAAGGAAAAAAAAACTGAGAAGAAAGAAACATTGAGAATGCATTCCAATCCACTTATCACATCATTGAAGGTGAATTAAGTACTTTTTCATCATGAGAGTTTTTAATATACTGATACAATTTTAATCAATAATGCTGATTCTGTAGAACTTGGGTGCAATCAACTCATCTTAACTCTTCTCGTGGAAATTAGTAAAGGGATGGACCATCCAGAACCTCAGACTCTGAGAGGAGGGGGAGGTTTTATGAAGGACCTTGATTCCTTGGCCAAAAATGGTTCCATAGACTATGGAACACATTTGAGATTTTGAATAGGAGGATGATGGGATCAAAACATCCCTTTCCTGAATCTGACAATGCATTTGGAGCCAAGAGGGAAGAGAGTGTCCATGGTAAACAAGTTGAAGTTCATTATAGTATGCCAAGTGAGAGATAATGGCTGGTGCACTGGAGTGAAGAGAAGAATATAGGGACAAACCACTGATTAGGTGTGAAGAACAAAGGAGGATCAAAGAAAACCTTGAAATCAGAGATTGGTTGACTGGGGCAAAGGTGGTATCATTAATGGTGTGGGAGACATCATGATCTGTTTGGAAGTAAGTGGAAGATGAGGGTTCAAAGGGCTGGCAGGGCATTCAAGGGGCATTGTCCACAGGCAGCTAGAAGGGAATTCTGGTGCTTTGAGAGATGCTGAAGCTGGAGTTGTGGGTTTGGGAGAAGCCATGGTAGTGAATTAAGTCACCAAAGAAGAGAATACTATCTGAAAATCCAGTTTTAAAGTACTTTTAAATAAGAAGACAAGTACTTTAAGACCAAAATCTGAAGTAAAGGAAGTAGGGAGAAAAGCAATTGGTACTATGATTGAGTAATGAAAATTATAGCCACCAAACACATGACAGAAGCAGGAGGGAGAACAGAAAGAGTCAGGAGAGATGGCCTGAAGATAGAATCTTTAGCAGCACCTTCAGTTGGAGTTATTATTAATTCCCAAACTTCTGTCACCTAGAGAACTAAAACTTATGAACCTAGTAATTTCAGGATGCCAATCCTGGACATTCAGGGGTGTGAATTCAAGAGCTGCCCATATATATTTTTTGATACCAGGTAGATTTAAATTTTATATTGATGGTGGGTTGGGGGAGCGGAATCACTAAATGCATCACCAAGTCTTTGCAATTGCCCTGATACTTTTCTGCACCATTTCCAGCTTCTGGAACACAAACTTTATTTTCTAATACCTATGATTAATTATATATTTCTGAAGTTTTTACTTCCTACTTGGGTGAAATTTATTTATTTTTTTTATAATTTTTATCCTCCACTCCTTCTCCCTTCCCCCCAACTTCCCCTCACATACAACCGTATATTCTTCATAGCTGAGGTCCCTATGGGTTTTAGGGATGCCTCTTTCAGTGGGTGCTGAATTGAGGTGGGGGATTTAATCTTTTTAGTAACTAAGTGAACAGTGTGCAACTGGCTGGGTGTCAGTGCTGAAATACAGGTCTCATTGTGCTGTGTGACGTCATCTCTGCCCCCAGGCAGTTTCACTGTGGGAGACTTTCTAATTACCCGTAACTCCTCAAATTCTTGTGTATAATAATAGCTGCCTGCGAAAACTTTCCCAAATTATAATGAGACTTTGAAATCAAGACGGGGGAACCCAATGTTATCCCCATGAACTGGAATATTTATGTTTAGTAAAATGCACTAGTATTCTGTTTAGAATATATTTAAATTAAGGATCTCTAAAAACAAGAGCTTCATCTGCTTGCTGTGTTTAACAGGGAAAGTGCACTTTGGAGGACAGGAACATTTTTACATGGAAACTCAAAGTGAAAGTGAAGTGGCAAAGGCAGAGGATTAAAACATGGACCTCTATGTGTCATGCCAGGATGCAGCATTTACACAGGTGGGTTTCCTTTCCAGTCATGATTTTGGGGTCATAGTTGATACATTTCTAAATGCGGTGTTGTCATTTTCTTGATTTATAGCTGTAGAACCCAGGTATAAGATATAACGTGTAGTGGACATTGAAAATCAGGATAGAGGCAAAGCCCAGCCCCAAATTGTACCAGTCTCCTCTAGTCCCCCGAATAGTACTCCTCCCCTTCTTATCAGATGATGGCTGCCTCCTTCATCTCCATCATCATCATCACCATCATCATCACCATCATCACCATCATCGAGGCCCATTTCCCTTCCTCACCCTCACCACACGCACAGTCTCAGGGAGTAAGGGATCCTCCCGCTTTTGGGGGACCAACCCTTACACCAGCACCTTTGGTTCCACTCACTGTCTACAATTACCCCTTCTATATTCTTTAACTTGCATCCCTATTGCCTTGTTCTGGTCAGTCCATAAACTCAAGTCTGTCCTATCCTTACAGGTGACCTTCTCTTGATCCAGCTTCCTCTTTTAGCTATTGCTTCTGTCTCCTTCCTTTCTGAGACAAACTTTTATATCAATTGCCTACCTTTTCTACTTCCTGGCTTCCCATTTATGCCTCAACATACTGCTTCTGCCAAGGCCACCAGTGGCTTAATAGTTCTCCAATCAAAGAGACACTTTTCTGTCCTTTCTACCTTCTGCACTAATGCCATCTACATTGTAGGCCATTTGATCCTTGCAAATGGATATCTCTCCGATGTCTCCTTATGTCTCTTTGCTCTTTCTTTGATTCCTCTCTGGGCTCCTCCATTTCTACCTGGTCCTATTATTCTTTTGGGATCCCAGATCTCTTTGAGAGTTTAGGAGTATGGACCTTTCTCCCAGAGAAACAGGACATAAGCTGCACTACCAGCTACAACAAACAACGCCCAAATCTTCACGGATTAGCACAATCGTGGTTGATTTCTTGATTGGACAAAGTCTGATGTGGATGTTCTCCTAGGCACGTCTCCTCCAAGTGTGACTCAGGGATCCACTTCCTTTTATGTGACTCCACCATCTTGGCTTCTTCAGCTTCCAGCTGCACAGATGGGAGGTCAGGGCAAATGAAAGATACATATGATCCTTCCCCCATTCCATTGGTCAGAACTGGGTAACACAATGTCACTTAGAAGCAGGAGAAGCTAAGAAATGTGGTTAGCTACATGCTGAGAAAGGAAGAGAATTGGATATTGGTGAACACTGGAGGTCTCCCAGACTCCTTGAACCTTAAATTAAGAATCTGATAAGATGCTGATAGAAATGTATGAAAACTCATACTACAGCAGGAAAAAAAGCTACAGAGGAGTTTGACAAGCAGAGTTATTGGAAGAAGAAAGGAATGGCCATTATCCCTATGAAATGCTTAGTTAGATATCCAAAGACATTTTATTATCAGGTAATTTTCAGAAATGCTTCTAAGTCTGAAAACAATTTGTTAAGGCCTTATAATAAAAGATCTTTTGGTACTAATTTTTAGAAAACTATTGATCAACTCCCAAGGTTTTGGTACTGGTTTGGCAGATTTGTTTCTATTTGCTATAGTGGCTACAGTGCTATTGGTTAATGAACAATTACTAACAACAAGGGAGATCTGCAAGGAAAACTGATACTAAAACCACCAAAATTCTAATGTACAGATAATTTTGAAGACTACCTTAAGTCACAGTCCCACTTAATATCTGTTGTCATGGCTGTTTGTAACCCTTAAGTATTACTTCTGGAAGGCTTATATAACCTACAATACCTGCTTTGCACCACCTGCTCTTGGTTTTTACCTGGTTGCAGTCACACAATGGTAAAACTGTTGCTTTCCCTTTAGGGCTTCTCATTACAGGCTATAGGCTAACTCATCTCTCTGCATAGCACAAGGCATAAATGTCTGAATGAATGGATGGATGGATGGATGGATGGATGGACGGACAGATGGATAGATGATGGATGGGTGAATAGATTATTACATAAATGAGAAGGTGAAACAACTTTTGTGGGTATTAGGTCTTCCTTTCTAATGTCTTTGAAATTGCTTTACTAGTTCTAGAAAAATAAGATCCATGTTATGGTCTTTCCTACAAAGGCATAGTGGAATCACTGGAAAATTACAGAGAAGATACCAACATTCCTGCTAGAGATTTGTGCCATTGAAATCAAGCAGGGGTGCCTAGAAAGCACAGTCAAGTTAAGTTAAGTGTCTGGCTCTTGATTTCCTCATGTCATCATCTCACAGTTTGTGAGTTTGAGCCCCAAGAGCTTGCTTGGGATTCTCTCTCTCTCATTCTCTCTCTCTAAAAATAAGTAGATAGATGATAGATAGATAGATAGATAGATAGATAGATAGATAGATAGATAGATAAGAAATCAGTCAAGAAATCAAGCAAACACAGATTCCTGAAAGACAATGAGTGGGATTTTAGAACAATTTTTAACTGAGTTTTGTGGGATTGCACTAGTTATTGGGGAAGAAATTTGAAAATACATAAACACTGCTACATGGAATATTCACAGACTCCTTGCCAAAGAGATGAGACTCCACAAGATACCTCTCTTGCTTCTAGCAACCACTTTCCCACAGATGACCCTGGGAAAGGAAACAACTCCAGTATTTTAAATTGCCCTAAACTGGGTCATGTGTCTACTTCAGCAATTTAATTTACTACTAGATGATTTGGAAACATAATCCATACTTTGTAAACAGAGATTTCTTTGAAAAGTTTAATTAACCACACCCAAAATTGTGATTGTAACCATTAAGTTTAGGAAAGACCATGACTAGCTTAGTTTTTTCCCCCATATTTATTTACATGTCCAGTGTTGCCTGTCATCTTCCCTCTAGTTACACCTGTCTCTCAGTACTTTTGTATCTACCCCTCACAAAATTTACCTGACTAGGATCTACTTGCTCAAGACATTCTCCCTTCTGCACTTGAGAGATACTAACCTGAAATTATAAACTAATGAATTGCACCCATCTGGTAAAATCTGTATTCTAATGAGAGATTTCTAGAATGGTGCCTAAATCTCCATGTTTCCCCAGATTAGGAAACTGTGACAACACTCAGAGCCCCCATCTAACACATGCTTGGACAACGGGATGCCAAGCATCCAAGCATCCTTTATATATACTGACTACATAGACTAAATAGAAAGAAGTATACCTTCTTTCAAAGAAAAGTTGTTAAAATGTGTATTTTAGTGGCCAATGTTTTCTTCTTTTTTTTTAAGTTTATTTATTTTGAAAGAGAGAAAAAAAAGTGTGAACCAGGGAGGGGCAGAGGGAGAAAAAGAGAGAGAGACAGAGAATCCTAAAGAGGCTCTGTGCTCTCAGCGCAGAGCATGATGTGGGGCTCAATCCCACAAACTGTGAGATCATGACCTGAGCCAAAGTCAAGAGTCAGAAGCTCAGTGCTCAACCAACTGAGCCCCCCAGGAACCCTGGCCAGTGTTTTTTTCTGAATGAAAATAGCTTCATTGCTTTTCTTGTATAAGTAATATGCTTATTGTTATTGTAAAAATGTTCAATGATATATTAATATCCTTTTCTACACTTCTTCATATGTATGTATATGTCTGTATAACTTTACATATTAGAGTTCATTTTGCACATGCTTTATGTAGTCATAGGCACATTTTAAAAAGTTTTGTCCTTTTTTGTTTTGCTTTGTTTTGGTAGTATAAGGGAATATTGCCTCTCCCCATACACACACACCTGCAGGTAACCAGTGTTAATAGTCTGGCATACATCCTTCCATTTCTCTCTCCGTGTTTGTATAATCACAAGTAAACATTCATCTACATAAATGGAGTTATGGCATACATTATCTTAATGTCTTTATATGAGAATAATCCCTCATCCACTAGTTCCTACCGTTCTTCCTCACCCAGTGATTAAGTAAATTGAAACAAACGTAGTATCAAACTGAGTGGAAAAGTAGTTGGAAGGGAACTGTAATGCGTGGGGGTAGGGCTGCTGTGGTAAGGCCTCTCTGCCTCCCTTGGAATCCATGTAATACATTCCCTCTCAAGTCACCTCTGTTATCTGCTCTTGTTATCTGCTCTCCATCAAGAAAGATGAAACCTAGAGCCAGTCCACTCTGCACACCTTTACCTGACGCCTGCAGTGAGACTGATGATGTGATGGAGGCAATGGGCTGCAGCAGGGGGTTTGCTACGGGAGGTCTGAGTTTGCGCCCTGGTTCTGTGTGTTTAATGGCTGTGTGACCCTGACAAGTCTCCAGTTCTTATCTCAGTTTCCTCATCTGCAAAATGAGAATACTATAGTAAATCTCACAGGATTGTCAGGAGGATTAAATGAGATAAAACATGTGAAAGCATTACTAAGTGTGTTAGATAGTGTGGGAAATATAAAGGAAGTGTAAATATTACCCATGTTGGTGAGATTAACACAAAGGGAATTGTTTCAGTCCTGGAGCAGCTGACTGCTGAAGGGTAGGACCATATATCCTCATGACCAAGGTCAGTAACTCCCCTGGATAAGAAATGTGTGCCCACGCACACACTGCATCAGCTTTGTCCCATTGGTGGGGTGCCACCCTCCCATCCATGAAAAACTGGATCTCATGGGAGCAGTGCAGATTCAAAATGTTACCTGTCAGAAGTGAGGTCCTTTTTATGGTTACCTTTCAGGAAAGCCCTTTCCAGGCCCCTACACTCAAGGGCATTCCTAGGGGCAAACAATGACTACCATGACTTAAAGGCTCAAGCAAAAAAGCAGAGAGTAGTTCTGGTGAGGATATGGCTGAATGTGTACCATTCTAGTTACAAAAAGAACTATAAACATTCTACTACATGTATCCTTGGACCTATTGCTTTCACTGCTAAGAGTTAATAGCTTCATTGAGATATAATTCACATACCATAAAATTCACCCTTTTATTTTTTTTTTAATGTTTATTTATTTATTTATTTTGAGAGAGGGGGAGAACATGTGTGTGAGCCAGGGAGGGGCAGATGGAGAGGGAGAGAGAGAACCCCAAACAGGCTCTGCACTGTCAGTGCAGAGCCCAACACAGGGATCCATCCCACAAACCATGGGATGATGACCTGAGCTGAAATCAAGCATCAGACACTTAACTGACTGAGCCACCCATGTGCCCCAAAATTCATCCATTTAATAAAGCCTACAATTCTGTAGTTTATAGTATATTCATAGAGTCTGCAACCATCACCACAGTCTAATTTTAAAACACTTTTATCACCCCAAAAAGAAACCCTGAGTCGCCTGTCACTGTTAGAAATATAGGACATATTCACATATTTGCAAAAAATTTTTGCCAAGATGTATGTACAAAGATGTTCATTGCAGGGAGATATTCATACAAGAGTTCAAGAAAAAAAACCAACAACAAAGTAAGCCTTATTTGGGACTTCTTAAATAAATTATGGTGCATCTATATATAATGAACTACTAGTCAGATAATAAAACAAATGACATAGACCTATATATGTTTGATGAGGGAGCTTAAGGCAGGCTGACACCCCTCAAACCACTGCCCCCCCTCAGGTGGGATATGTGTGACATTCCTCAGGCACTCCTGGTGTTATGCCCATAATTCGTGATCCCCAAAGACCACTAGGGAGCCGAGTCTGATGCAAAAGCAAAGAGCCTTTATTCGAGCTAGCTCGAGCTCAATCCCCTACCTGCACCGACGCAGCGGTGAGATACCAGGGTAAAAGAGCGAGTTTCAAAAGGATAAAGGTTTTATTGGGGCCTAGGGGCAGTTGGTGAGGTAATGGCTGTGGCCTCAGCCGATTGGCTGGGGAAGGGTCCTGGGGAAGGGTCTGAGTCCTGTTAGGCAGGTGAGGGGGGGTTACTCAAGGGGAAGAGGTGTGGTCAAGGTGAAGGACACAGAACAAGATGGAGTCGGCTGGCGTAGGCCCGCCCTTTCACTGGCTGCCCAAGAACAAAGAAAAGGGAAAAACACATGGTTAACTGATAGAAATCACAGTCCTGAAGGACAGGAGTCTCCATCAGTTTATAAATGTCTTAGTAAATTACAAGAAAAAGGCAATCTTATCAACAGCCTTATCTCAGTTTCCTGGAGCCCCAACATTACCCTCCCTACCATAGTGAGGTGGGGAACAAAGGCAAGAAGGAAATGGTAGGTAAAATTAAATATCCTTATAACCTGCAGCCCATTGACAAATACTTGCTATAGGCAGAGTAAAACCTTCCTCCAGGAACTCCTTATTGTCTAAATGTTAATGCCTTACTAGAAGGAAAAACAACCTTAGCTTGACAATACCTAGGCCTCCAGTATCTGGTGAGTCTTCTTTAGCATATGAAAGTCCTTTTGGAAACCTCCCTTTAGCCTTTACCTCCCCCAACTCCCAGGTGTATAATCAGTCACTCTTCACAACCCTAGTGAAGTTCTTTCTGCCCATGGGTCTTGTCCCCTTGCTTTGGTAAAATCACCTTTTCGCACCAAAGATTCCTCAAGAATTCTTTCTTGTCCATTGGCTCTGGACCCCAACCACCACTCAAAAACCACATCATGTTGATATGGAAAATTATCCAAGACTTGTATTTATAATGTTGTACCTTTTAAAACATTATTTCCAAATATTTATAACATTCATGAAAGTAAATTCTAGAAGAAATTACAAGGAACTGATGTCAGTGGTTACCTTTAGGAGGAGGAGCAGGACTGATGAGTAGGCAGGAAAGCTTTCACTCTTCATATTATGCCTTGTTTGATTCTTCTATGTACATGTACATGTTCATAATCCCTTCTATGGAAACTTGAGGCCAGATGTAGTTTGGAATTCTACATTTTTCTGATTTAAAAAAATAATTTAAGTTTTACTTATTAGAGAGAGAGAGAGAGCACACACAAGCAGGGCGGGGCAGAGAGGAGAGACAGAATCCTAAGCAGGCTCCACACCATTCGCATAGAGCCCCATGTGGGGGGCTTGAACTCACGTGAGATCATGACCTGAGCCAAGAGCAAGAGTTGGACACTTAATTGTGCCACCCAGGCGCCCCTTCTGATCTTAAAATATCATATCTGTATTACACATACTACATAAAATGATCAGTGGAGTCTAAGGCAACATACCCAATTTAAGCATGTTAACATTTCCTCAGTGAAATGTATGATTATTCACACTAAGTGGAATTTTTAAAAGACTATGACTCTCATCATTGCATGATATTGAGGCAGATTTGTCACCAAATTGGTTTTCAGGGTTTTTTGGCATTCAGACTTGCAGTTAAGGGACTGTGGACTTATATTAACAGATTTGATGTTTCTTATAATCACAGGGTGTGTGTGAGTGATGAGATGATGGACCATTTTTGTCTTTACATGTTGCTGTATTTTATTCCTTACTTCTCTTCATGATTTTTACTCCCCAGAAGCAGTTGAGAGTAGTGTGCTCAGAGGAATATGGAGAACGAACTCACTAGGACTGAATGTCAATCCCTAAATAACAACTAAAGGCAGAGAGTCTGTAATCCAACAAAGGACAATAAGGTCTAAATTCTACTGGTTGTTAACAGTTTGGGTCAATTTGTTATTGTTTCACAAGTAAGTGAAGCAAGGTGAAGAGCTCTCCTTGTTGAAATCAGTGGCATACTAGAAGAGACTCAGAAAGGAGAACAATGCCCAGCAGGCATTCAAACTAGTCAGCTGCTATGGAAAATGGCAAGAGGACTGTGAGATATCTCATGACTGAATTCTAACTATAAGGTATACATTTAGGCTTTTACTTTTCAGTTTTCATAGAATGGCACCTTTGCTGTTCACAGGCGGCACACATCTTTGAATGAAACCGTTGGTCCTGTACCTAATAGCATGAAATTGTAGCTGTATTTCAGGGTCTTTGAGTAACTGTATTTGTTAGTGCCTCACTGTCCAAGAATCCTGTACAGATGGCAGGAAGAACAGATTTCTCATTTTTATTTCTAGGTTGCTGTGTGGTTCACATCTACACAGATGGGTCTGTATTGGTTGCTCGTGGTAGAGTTGAATTGGGACAAGGTGTTAACACCAAAATGATAGAGGTGAGAAAGGGAGTTTCACTTTTTGCCATTGGCCAAAATTAGACTTTATAAAATATTACTAGATGCTGTAATACCAGTTCCAGTATTTTACTGCATTTGGGCTTTGTGATCCAGTGACCAGAATTGCCCACAAGTGTCACTAGGAGCTCATTCTGAATTACCGGGAAATGAGCCAGCTGGGACTTGGGAAGGGGGCTTCACCTGCCTTCTCTCTCACCAAAACTCCACTTCCCCAGGAACCAGTGGCTTCTTTCCCTCTGGCAGAAGGTCTGTAACTTCTCATGGACTCCTAAGTCCAAATGCTGGGCTGCCAATATGCTCAGACCACTCCTGTACCTAAATAGCACCCCAAATTCAGACCTCCTGGTGCTAGCCAACCTGTTCATTTCTCCAACTACAAGTCTACTTCTTTATGATCACCCTCCAAAAGGAGACACATGGTAGAGTGAGGGTCCTTCCTCTAGATTGTGGACTCATGTTGCATATCCAGCAGGCCTCTCCATGGGTCATGAAGGGATGGGAAATCTGTGTTTTCTCTCTGTAAGATTCCCCTTTCCACAACAAAGCCTATTTTAAACCCACGCCATGTGGCATTGTGCAATTTGTCCTGACCCATGGCACTTGAGAGGTTTGGGATATAGAGAAACATTTCTCATTTTAAAACTTTAAAACTCTTGGGGTGCCTGGGTGGCTCAGTCAGTTAAGTGTCTGACTTCGGCTCAAGTCATGATCTCCTAGTTTGTGGGTTTGAGCCCCACGTTAGGCTCTGTGCTGACAGTTCAGAGCCTGGAGCCTGCCTCAGATTCTGTGTCTCCCTCACTCTCTGCCCCTCCCTCACTTGCACTCTGTGTCTGTCTCTCAGAAATGAATAAACACTAAAAAAATCTTTTTAACTTTAAAACTTTATAAAAAATTTTGGTTTCAAAATGTCTATTTGAACCATAGATTATAAATCTCCTTATTACTTTTTAAAAGAGGGGAAAACGCTTTTCTAATAGGTTTAAATTATTGTCCCAGTTTTACTTTGGACTAGCACATTCTGTCTTGTTTTCCTGTGCAGGTGGCCAGCCATGAATTAAAGATACCAGTATCTTCCATATACCTTGGAATGATGAATACCATGACAGTGCCCAGCACAATTCCCATGGCAGCCTCTACTAGTGCAGATGCCAGTGGAAAAGCTGTGCAGGTGAGGATTTTACTGATTCCCAGCCTTAAGTGTCAAACCCTTTTCCAGAGGAGCCTTATGCTCCATTCTAGAAAATTTCTCCTGATGCTTTTCCCCATGAGCACTAGGGTCACAGATGACAACCCTGAGGCATGGAGAGTATAAGTCATTTGGATGCTGAGAAGAAGCAGAGCTGTTCAGTCCCAGAGGTATCTGACTCCAGAACCCACATCTCTTCACACCACACTGCCTTGCTCTGTACCTGACTTGGGGTAGTTCTTGTGCTTGCTGCTCTGGTTTTCATGACCTTGTTGAGTATTCAGCAAATTTTAAAAGAAACCTTAACATAAGGCAAATAAAAGCATAACTGTTGAATAGGACAAATAGGGCTCACATTCTGTCTGGCTTACCTCAGCCCTCTCCCTCACCCCCTGGGTGGCCCCTTAAGCCCCACCTCGGTCCCTCTTCTACAGGGAATCCCAGTCTAGTCTTACATTCTTCCTTGCTTCCTTCCCTCAACTCTCAGTTATTCTGCATCATCACTTCTTGTTCCTTCTTCACCTCCCTTGTTGCAGAGCCCCTTCTTCCTTCTAACGCAGACCCTTCAACAGTCTTACAACACTGCCCCCTTTTATCCCCCTCTGAGAGTTTTTTTCATCAATCATCCCTATCTTTGAATCTTTCTTCTTGTTCATTACTTCTTCATACAAATGAAGAAGTATGAAGAACTTGCCCTGATCTATCAAAAACAAACAACTGGCTTCTGCCCTCAAAGCCCCAGTCATTGATGAACAAATAAGTTCATTTTCCCTTGGGAGCTTCAGCTGCAAGCCCTGATGTATATAATGTTGAGAGTTACATGGGAATACATTCAGAAATTCCTTTGCATAAAGTGGAGGTAAGAAGGAGAGTTTTTCCATAAAATAGAGCTTAGTACCTACCAAGGGGATTCCAGAGTTTGGACAGCTCCTCTGTGGACAGTGCCCCAAGCTTTTTCTCATTAACCTGAAGAAGGAAGAGTCAGAGGTCAAGAGGAAGGAGAGAGAATGCGTACTTAGCAGCCTCCTCCCTGGAGAGGAGACCCAGTGCTGCCTCTCACCTCTCCAGCCTCCCTTCGAGAACAGCACCAACCTTCTCACTCCTCTACCCCATGGACAGAAAAGCACCCCACATGGGGGCAAGAGAGCATCTTAGGTTGAACTTGCCCCTAGGAAAGGCCTTCTCATTGAAATGTCCTTACAATGAAAGCAGTAAACCAATAAAATATCTTTAGCCCTTGGCCTATTTTTGGTAGCAACACTCCTGTCTTTTAGAGGGAAATGGGGACAGGGAGAATTCTGGTTTTCCCTTAGCCTATAGAACATGCATCCCCTCTTTGAACCTTTAGCCATCTTTACTGCAGTTTTCTTGGGCCGGCTAACCCCCCAAGTAATTACATAATGCTTCCATGAGGATCTTGGAGCCTGAAAGATCCCACCCACTCTTGGACCACATGATGTGGTAGCCAACCTGCACTGCTAAAAAATCTCAAAACAAGACTCCAAGAACTTGTTTCATAGTCAGCTTGTCTGAATTATATCCTGAGCTGTTTTTAGGATTGTGGAATGTCTTCATAGCAAAACAACAGTGGAGGCCGTTCACCTTCTCTGAAAGGACAGATGAACTAGCGGATGACAGTCAATGGATTCCTTTAACCTTGTTAAGCACCTAGACCGGCAGCAAGTAGAAGGAATGTCTTCCACCCCCTCCAATATGAGAGAGACTGTATCTTATAATACCTACACACACAGGGAAGAATTTTCTACATCATCATCTCTACAATCTCTCAACCAAGAAGCAAGCTAAGTTCACAGTAATAAAACTTTTACTGAGGACCTTCCTTCCTGAAGCTACCCTCACCAGTGAGAGGGCAACCCCAACCTTCCAAAAGTGAAATCTATACCTGAAGGAAGCAAAGCCAGGGCACCCCTGCTAGCCAGGTTCAGGATGCTAAAGCAGAAAGCCGGTATTGTATTCTTATCACCCCTGCTTCTAATTTTTCCCCAACCCCATATGATGCACAGAGGGATCCCCTGCACTTCCTCAGCCCATCCAGTGTGCAGCCACAGATCCCCTACCTTGAGCCAAACTCAGAGACATCATTGTATGTGGAGCTTGGCCCATTCAACAGTAGTAATATAACCCTTTCTGTGGGTGGATAATTTGATGTGTCACCTCATCCAACTTTCTAGGGCCCCCACTCCACTCCTTCCTGTCAGGCCAGGTATACTCCCAATTTCTCAGGAAATTTTATTCATTTTTTCCTACTAAAGGCAGCTAAAAATTGTATGCAGTCATCTAAATGTCACATAAGGGGATTGAGACCTGGGATCCCATTTTAATATAAAGGGCTTCCAGTCCCTGGAGAATCTGATCTTCCATTTGATTTTTCCATAGTTTTAAAGACTGACATTCCATTTGATAGGTTGATTTATTTTCTGTCTCTGATCAAATCAAATCTATGACTGACCCCCAGATCCACATCATCACCCCATTTTTACTGACAAAAAGTATAGAGTTCACTACACTCTACTTCCTAGACAAAGATAGAGATTGTTTCTTTCCTTTGCCCTCTCCTTTCCCTTGGGTAAAATTTCTCAGGTAAGCTTCTGAGTAGAGTGCCTATTAGAGGATTATAAAGTTAATAGACTAGTAACAACCACCATTTTTTTTTTTTTTTTTTTGAGAGAGAGAGAGAGAGGGAGAGAATTCCAAGCAGGCTCTACACTCAGCTCAGAGCCTCATGTGGGGCTCCATCTCACAAACTGTGAGATCATGACCTGAACAGAAATCAAGAGTCAGACACTCAACAAACTGAGTCACCCAGGTATAAAAAAAAATATCAAAATGCTATACAAATAGTAAGGGAAGTGATGTGTTTCTTATATATCTGTGTGTGCACGTATTGCATAAGTGAGTGTACTGGTAAAAAGTAAAATGTGTATCTTACATTGAATTAGGACCAAAAAAGTGTGAGGAAACACTGCCATGCAGTGTCCACATCCTGTATCCAGGTCAAGTGCAATCCCAGTACGTTTATCTCACATAGAACATAGTGTGATACATATCCTTCTTCTTCAGCCCTAACAAACATCATGAACTTAAATCCATTCCAGAACAAGTTTCAGAAGGAGTAATCATTTCATGTGCATGGTTTCATAAAAGGACAGGCTACTCAGAAATTTGGGTTTGTGTTGCCACTTAAGTTTTTTCTTCTTTTAAACAGACTTCCTTAAAATAAAAATTTTAATGTCTTGATGTATTTTGCCAAAACATATTTTCATATCATCAAAATAATCTGTTTCAGAAAATGCATAGTTCCATGTGGACTGGATCACAGGGGTTCTAGATAAAATTCTATGAACTTCTGTAAACATGTGACAAGGCAGGACTGCCACTGGAACTATTCAGGCCTGTGAAGGTGACCCATGGTTCTTGCACTCTACTTCCTCCAGGGAACTTACAAGAGGAACAACTAGGTACCTATTCCAGATCCTAGAAATAGAGTGTTTTTAAGTTTTAAAGACTGACATTCCATTTGATAGGAACCTCCTTTCCAATCATTGTGACCTTTTGAAATATACACAGGGAAAATGTCATAATGATGGATCACAATTTCTTTCAGTTGTTTCCTTTTTTTGTTTGTTTGTTTTTTGTTTTTTGTTTTTTGAGGTGTGCATTTTTCAACCAAAACATGTATAGGTTACAAGAAACCTCCTAATCCAGTACAGTATACACCACTGTCTCCTACTTTCCTCTCTCCCTATGCACCCAACTCCATACCCATCCAGGCCATAGGACAGAGGAGAATGAGGAGGACCTCACTGGACAGCTGAGATTATCAACCTGTCATCTATCCTTTCCTTCCCTTTTGCCCTGGGAGGTATCTGTATCTTTTTCCTGAGCATTCTTCACCCCCTGGGACTCTTCATTCTTATGTGTAGATGGACTGGGCTTCACAACCTGTCTTAGATGTTGGACTTCTCACCTGGTGCAGCACTAAATTATATAGTTGCTACCTGCCAACCAGGAGAAAGGGGGAAGCCCTTGAAATGAATAAAGAAGCTCTGTGTAATAGAGACAGGTGGATACCTGTAATATCACTCAGAGCAGAGTGGCCAAAAAATGAGACTAGAGAAATCCCCATGTAGCCTAGAGAAATCCCCATGTAGGAAAAGCCAGGCACATCAGCAAATACTTCAGAGGAAATAGTATTTACATATGTAAAGAAAAGTAGGTCTATGGAAGGAGTGAGTCATGACCAACTATACCAAATGGGTCTCAGAGAGGAAAGACTAGGTAGTGTAAATGCAGCTTTGTTCAAGGAGAGCAGTGCTAAATCACATAGTACATGTGGCTTAAGGTTCGGGAATGCAACTGTTTTGGGTCCAGTCGCAGCTCCATTGCTTTCTAGCCTTGGGTAGTCAGTTACCTAACTGCTCTGAGTCCCAGTTTCCTTATCTGAAATGAGGATAATGGCAGTTTCTGCCCCACAGAATCACAAGGACCGAAGGATAAAACCCATGTAAAAAGGCTTGGTGGTGCCTGCACATGGTCAACTGATAGTAGTGTTAGCTGCTAATGCTACTTATGTTCTTGTTATCACTAATAAGCAAGCTCTTCCTAGACAGGTGCTTACTCATTCATTTATTCATTCAATAAATATTTACATCAAGCACCTGTTGTATGGTATTTGGGCCATAAACCTGATCCACACGGCCCATCAGGTTTCTCTATGGCTAGAGTGAAATATCACTGCTATACTTCTGACTAATTCTAAGCCCACCAAGGACACTTTTGATCACAGTTTGACTTCTCCTGTAAATTTGCCTGCAGGAAGAATTCACTGGCCCAACAGTCTGGTTTCCCCTTGTAAATTAATGTAGTAGCATTATAAAGCAGTTTCTGAGGGAATGTAAGCAGTCTTCTGGGGGCCCAATCAACTCTAGAGGTCTGATCCAGTTAGGCGTCTGGTGGGTTGAAGAACAAACCTCAGGCTACAATGAATGCCCCCTCCAGGGCCCTGTTCTACCCCATGTCTCTTCACCTTGTGAAGCCTCCCAGCCCTGGAAACTGCCCAGTGGGCTAGTATCTGCTTGCTCTCATATGCAGATAGTTGAGGCATGGGGCTGCAAGGCTTGAGCCTGAACCCTGAGGACTTCCACCACATGTAGCCATCTGACTATATGCAGGACACTTGGGAATGCAGGGACCTCATTTACCAGGGTTGTGGACAGAATTCAACAGAATATATATGGAGAGGCACTGGTGGCATCATGCAGAAGGCAGGTGTTAAGAATTACAATAGGATCCCTCCCACCTACCTGCAACACTCTGGCTTGCCCTGTGTGTGCATGGGTTGCAGGAGGTGGTGGTGAGCCTGCGTACCTGCAGCTGCATAGAAGACTTGACTGCTGTTGAGGACAGGCCTGCCCCATGGTCATTGGGGACCTGATTGAGCCAGTGTAGGTAGAGTAATAAGCCACCTGTTAATGTCATTTGAAAGCCCTTGGAGGCTTTCCTGAGCCAAAATAAATTCCCCACCTGCCTGCCAATTCCCAACATTAGTCACTAACTGCTCGAAGGATGTCTTAGGTGTATTATGTGAGTTAAGGCATGATTGATCTCTTAGGCAATAGATTAGCTACAGAGTACCTGAGTGAGGAGAAGGTTATATAATTCACAGTAAAAATCCTTTGATGAGTTCCCTTGCACTGATAATAAAACACATAATTCTTAACATGGTTTGCATGTTCTGTCCTGCCAATCTTTCCCAAGGCTTCTTGTGCCATGATTACCACACTCAGGCCACACAGCCTTCTTCAGACCCATCGTCTCCTTCCCTCAAGAGCTTTGCACCTGCCACCTGCATAAGTCAGGATTCTCCAGAAAACCAGAATCAGCAGGGTACATATATGGATGTATGTGTATGTATATATGTATGTGAAAATATATAATATATATTATGTAATATATATTGCATATATATTATATAATCATTTATAATATATGTTCACACATATATAATTCACACATAATATACATACAACCATGTACAAACATACGTATATACACACACATGCACATATACATACATATACTTATATACACACACATAAAGATATTTATTTTAAAGAATTGGCTCACATAATTGTGGGGGCTGACAAGTCCAAAATCGGTAGGGCAGGCCAGCAGCCTAGAAAGTCAGGTAGGATTTCTGTGGTACAGTTTTGCAGCAGAATAGTTCCTTCTTCTCTGGGAAACCTCAGTTTTTGCTCTTAAGGCTCTCAACTGATTTTGAGGCTCATCCACATTATCAGAGGTAATCTCCTTTACTTAAAGTCGACTGATTGTAGATGTTAATCACATCTGCAAAATACCTTCACAGACTATGTTTGACCAAACTACTGGGTAACATAACCTAGGCAAGCTGATGCACAAATATAACCATTATACTGCCTCTGTGCTGGGATTTCCCCTCCCACCCCCTCCCCTCTTCCCTGACTGATGCCTTCTCACCTCTTAGATGCCAGTGTAAATATCGCTTCCTCAGGAAGCCAGCTCTGTCCCCTCACCTTATGTAGGTATCATGGTTGTTCTTTCCTTTTTCCTTGTTGCCCTGCCCCAGTTCTAAGCACACTTTGTGTCTGCTTATTTCCTCACTGTATCTCTCTATCCTAGATCTAAGCTCTGTCAGGGCAGGACCATGGAGGGTCTGGCCACCATAGCAGGGCTGCTGTAGCCCATAGATCATCTTTGGGTACATTAGTAAAAGGCTCCCTTCCTCTAGGTGGATATGTTTCTCACAGGTCAGTCTGGGGAGCTGGATTTCACCCCACTGCCTGGAAGCCCTTGTTCAGGAGTCAACCTGTACAGCCAGGCAGAATGGGAGACAGTGCTCTCAATAGAGAACAGGACAAATGAGTGTCCCTGATACAGGGACAGGGTCCTGGTTATGGGATACTTAGATAGATTTCATCTTGAGAAGAAGATTTGTAAAGAGGTGAGGAATTTGGGGATGAGGAAGCAGGATGGGGGGTAGGGACCCGGGCAGTGGGAATGCCTTAGTCACCATGGTAGGGGGTGGACAGAGATGAAAAGCCTACAAGGTGAGAGATAGATGTCAAAGAAAAACACCCCTTACCAGGAAAAGGACAGGGTGGGGGCATCAGCAGCAATTGGCAATCGGAAAGGACCTAGAAACATATACTATCAGAATTAGAATAGGCCCCAGGGGACATCTAATACAGAGACTTTCAATGGCAGGCCCCACATACCAATGGGATACATCAAATCTCCAGGAAGGAGCTTGTATATTTTGAAGAAGCATTGACTCATTATTATAGGACTCTAAGTTTATACTTTGGGAAAAGCTTTTTAAAGTCTTTTACTTTCTAAATTTGAAGTACAGAAGATAAATCTCTGGCATGGGCCAGACTAGAAGTATAATCAAAAAGCAAGATGTTCCTAAACCCTCCTTATCTTTTAACAGTTCAGATCCTGCTGTGGATAATCCCTAAAACTTTGGCCAGCTTTGCCAACCCCACCCACACTGTCTCCTGGGGCATTTGCACTCCAGGCCTGACAGTCTCTTGCCATTTGATGAGCTGGGCCAGCTTCTGAATTACTGCCTGGGCCTACACTCCTCCAGAACAGAGCTCCTTCAGGGCCCAGAGAATTCTTACAAGTAGAAACCAATCTCTGCAGCAGAACTCAAAGCTGCCTTGGAACTGGTCACGAGGGACAGCTGAAAACACCATCATCTTAAAAAAAAAGAATGAACCCAGGCAGGCAGTGATTTAGAAGAGGCCAGAGACTGTCAGCCAGGACTTATACGTGTTGAATTAATGGTGTATTTATTCAACAAACAGTCGCTAAGCTCCTGCATGGATTAGTCACGGGGCCAGGCAGGAGCAGTGAACAAGAGTTCCCACTCAGTGCCTTCGCAGTGGTCTGCCAAGGGAGAGGGACCCCTTCAGATGCTTTTCTAAATCAGGTCAGTGCCCACCCCCCATGGGCTGGGTGTGTTTATTAAAAATTCTCTCCTTAAATTTTGTCTTCCCTGCACTCAGGGCCTAGGGGAGTCAGAAGTGTTTCTGGGGTTTTCTGTGTTCTTCATCAAAACAGACGCTATGACTGCAAGCTCACAGGGAGAGGGGCTTGGCCCCAACTTTGACAATAGTCTAGCCACACCAGTGCCAATTCAAATGGCCTGTGTGGATCCGTTTGCAGAGCTGGTATAGGGTCCCTCCTTGTCTTGTTAATTCTCTGCAATTCCTTCAGAGCTGCCTAATGTACATAGGGGCAGGAAACATCTATGTCAATTTAAAAGTAAATTCACAAGTTCAATAGAACGCCTTCATTCAGAAAACAAAAGTTATCCATGTGAATGTTCAAATAGGAAGAAAAAAAGCTTTCTGTATTTATCAAAAGGAAGTATGGATTTTATTTATTTTTTTTAATGTTTATTTTTAAGAAAGAGAGTACACAAGCGTGAGCTGGGGAGGGACAGAGAGAGGGGGAGACAGAGGATTCAAAGCAGGGTCCCTGCTGAGAGCTGTAAGGGGGTGGTGCTCAACCCATGAACAGGAACAAGACCTGAGCTGAAGTCTAAGTAGGAGGCTTAACTGAGCCACCCAGGCGCCCCAGGAAATATCCATTTTAAAGGTCTGAGAAATGGTGCTTCCCATCCAGGCCTTGATCTTTTGAGCTGTTCACAACCTTCAGCCACAGTCCTCCACTTACCCCAATATTGTGCTGCACAATATTATTACTTCCTAAGAGTGGCAAGACCTGAGAAAGGTTGGGAAGCCCCACCTATGGCTCAGGACGAGCACTGTTCAATACCATAGATAGATATGAGCTACAGGTCACTACTGAGCCCTTGAAATGAGGCTAGTCATTAATATAAAAAGGGAGGGGGACAAAACATAACAGACTCTTAAATACAGAGAACAAACAGAGGGTTACTAGAGGGATTGTGGAAGTGGGGATGGGCTAAACAGTAAGGGGCATTAAGGAATCTACTCCTGAAATCATTGTTGCACTATATGCTAACTAACTTGGATGTAAATTTTAAAAAATAATAAATTAAAAATACAAAAATAAATACATAAAAGAGGCTAGTCCAAACTTAAATGTGCTATTAAGTGCAGAATACACATTGCATTTTGAAGATATGTTAGCAAAAAAAATGTGAAATACTTCATTTATAATTTTATATTGATCAGATGTTGAAATGATAATATTGACTATATTGAGTTAAGTAAAATATTATTAAAATTAATTTCACCTGTTTCAGTTTTCTTAGTGTTGCTACTAGAACATTTTTATAATTTTTTTTTTAACGTTTATTTATTTTTGGGACAGAGAGAGACAGAGCATGAACGGGGGAGGGGCAGAGAGAGAGGGACACACAGAATCGGAAACAGGCTCCAGGCTCCGAGCCATCAGCCCAGAGCCCGACGCGGGGCTCGAACTCACGGACCGCGAGATCGTGACCTGGCTGAAGTCGGACGCTTAACCGACTGCGCCACCCAGGCGCCCCTAGAACATTTTTAATTATATATGTGCCCTCCATCTGTGGCTTACATTACAGTTCTATTGGACAGCCCTGCTCTGGACAATCCTACTGCATCTTGACCTGAGAAAAAAAGATAAGAGTCAGCCTCGCTGGCAGTTAGTTAGTGGCTGTAGGAGGCCAGGAAAGGAGATCCACACTTTGGTTGCTTAAAAAAAGAGAAGAGAAGAGGGGAGAAGGGAGGGGAAGGGAGAAAAAATAGCAAAGGAAGCAATGTCTCCATTGGTTTGGGCTGCTATAACCAAGTACCAGAGGAGACTGGGTAAGCTTAAACAACAGACATTTATTTCGCACAGTTCTAGAGGGCTGAAAACCCCAAGATCAAGGTGCCAGCAGGTCTTCTGTCAGGTGAAGGCTGCCTCCTGGTTCATGGAGAGCTGTCTTCATGCTGTCTTCACATGGTGGAAGGGGTGAGGGAGCACTCTGGGTTCTCTTTTATAAAAAAGCACAAATCCCATTTGTGTGGGCTCCACCCTCATGGACTATTGAGGGCCCCACCTTCCAATACTATTACCTTAAGATTTATGATCTCAACATATAAATTTGGGGGAGACACATTCAGTCTCTATAACAGTCTCTAAACCTCATTCATCCCTCAATCCCTCAAGTTGCCCCCCCTCCCTGAATCCTCCTAATGACTCAGCCAGACTGACTGGCCCACATCGGCCTCCCTGTTATATTTGTGTTCTGAACAACACCGTTTAATAGTTTGGTTCAGCTCCACAAACATAGTCTATGTGCCCAATCCATGTGAAGTGCTGTGCTGGGGCAAGAGAGAACCATCCAAAGGACGTAAGTCCTGGCCCCAAGAAGGCCACTATCTGGTGGAAAAACAGAAACAGGCAATGGCCATACAATCTTCCCAGTGCCAGGGACTACATACTGAGGGAGCACCAAGGACTGAGAGATGTTTGCTCACTCAGAGTGTTTCTAATTCTCTCTTGTCCCCAGCTAGGTTACAAGCTTTAGAACCAGCAGCATGTCTTATTTCTTCTTCCTCCATCACCGAGCTTCAATACTCAGAAGATGCTGACTGAATGGAAAAGGTTTGAGTGACATGGTAGCTTTAAAATCAGATGACTGGATTCAAATCCCAGCTCTGCCAGTTAAACCAGCTGTTAAGTTGGGCAAGTTTTTGACCTATCTATGCCTTAGATTCCGCATTTATCAGACAGAGAAAGTAGGGTACCTACCTAGTAGAGCCCCTATATTAAGTGAGCTTAACTGTAAAAGTGTTTAACACAGGGCAGGGGCACATGTTGACAACAAAATGAATGTTAACAATGGTTATTATCATGACCATGATGATTACTGGCCAGCTAATCCTTATGTCTTCTGATTCTTCTAGTCTACACTACCATCATGGAGAAGTGAGCAGGGGAAGATGTTTGAATGAGTCACGGTGGCAGAAAAAGCTGCCCGAAGTTTGGCAGGATGTTATAAACACTAACCAACCCATTATTCCAATTTAGTGTCAGCAGAAACCCTTTAGCTACTAGGCGTGCTCAAACCTGACCTGGTTCAACAATGATCCATCTTAAGATGCAGGTGAAAAAACTTCATACAGTTCTTGATGCATAAAGGTATGTGGCAATCAATCAGTAATTGTATTGCAGTAGTTTTTGTGATTTAAACTGCTAAACTCATTCTTCAAGATCTAAGGCAAAAGAGGGGAGCAGAAAGCAGGCTGAGATGTATAAAGCATTCATGTATTTATTGAACAAAGTTTTAGGGAGCAACTAAAAGTTGTGGCCAGGCATTTAAGAAATGGTGAAATTAAGTCCCAGATCCCACCTTGTGAAGCTTATAATTGAATTGAATTATATATGGTCTTATGAAAGCAACACAAGTTAAAAAGATGCAGCCCAGATGTAGTCCTGTAGAAGGTGAGGAGAAGATGACATCCCAGTTAATGGTAAGATCTAAACAAAGGGGCACAAAAGAAAAGCAATCCCAGGTGGATGAAAATGCAGAAGCTAAGGATGGAGGTCAGAAGAGATCCAGATATTTATCAGAACATAGATAATTTTGTTTGGCTGGAGGTAGACAAGGGGATAAATCTGGATAGAAAACTGGAAAACTAGCCTGGATCAGATCATAGATACTCTTAAATATAAGTTAACAAGTTCAAGTTTTATTCTGTCCACAGTGAAGACTTCTGATGGTTTTTATCAAAGAAATTACATAATCAGGGAGATTTACTCTGGTGGAAGGTATAGCATGAATTAACATGAGAGATAACAGTTGGAAAGCTACTGATGGGGTCCAGAGCAGGCTGCCCCAAAATGTGCCACTCTGACCCTTCTCTGTACACCTCAAAGCAGGAAATAAATTTTTCTTATGAAGGGTGCACTTTCTACACCTGGAGAGTAGAAGGCATCTTTATCACCAGAGAGAGAGAATTCAGGACTGAGAAAATTGTATAAACAAACCTTGTTACTTCATTAATTTGCTACCCGAAGTCCAAACTTTTGTCTTGTTAACTCTTCATAAATTTCTTCTAAAAGGTATAAAAAGCTGCTGACTTTGGTCACTTCTTTGAATCCAATATTTCTATGAGCTCCCATACATGCAAAATTAAAATCTTTTTCTCCTGTTAATCTGTCTTGTTTAATTATTTGACCAGCCAAAGAACCTAGCAGGAAAAAAGGGAAGTTTTCCTCCCCTACACTGCTGTAATAGTCCAGAGGTGACAAAGGCTTGAGCACCCACAGTGCTGGCAGGAATAGAAAGAGATTCAAGCAACAGCCCCTGCCCTCTGACAGGGCGGGGTAGACACGGCAGAAGTCAAAGGTAAGTCTAAGTTTGTACTCAGGTGACTGGGGGAAAGTGGTAACCTTACCAGAAACAGCAACACAGGAGGAGGAGCCTGCTTTCAAAGGAAAGGTGAATTTGATTTTAGATTTATAGCCTGGTTGTCAGCCAAGGGATTTACCCAACAGACAGTTAATTCAGGATTGGCAAGAGGTCTGGGCTGCAGACAGATTTAGGAGTCATGCGTGTAATTAGTAATCAGAGCCATGAGACTGGATAAAACTCACCAGAGTGTGAAACTGCAGAGAGGGAATTAAAAGGAAAATGTAGAAGGGGAGGAGAGAGATGGAAAGAGAAGAAAATAAGAAGGAAGGAGAAAGGAAGGAATGAGTCAAGGACAGCTCAGGGAAGGAGTAGGGGCTGAGGGTAGGAGTAGGGGCAGGAAGCACTAACCGCCTTGAAACTAAGGGTGGAGTGATGCGGCTCTGTGCACACAGTCATAGCAGGAGCACCCCCTCAGACACAGCCCAGCTTGCCAGAGGGAAGCGGTTACCATTAGCAAGATTCTAAAGGCCCTGAGAAGTCCCTTACTTTATGCCCCCCCACCCCACTCCCATACACACCTACTTTAAAACCCTTTCCTCTATTGGCCTGAAACCACACAATCATATTAACCCTGGCTTGGATGAAGACGCTCCAAAGCCTCTTGTTAATGTGCCCCCAAATCTAGGGGTGCTCAGTGGCCGGATGGAGCCTGGAGTCCTCTTGGCTCTCGCTGTCCCTTGCTCTTACCACACCCGTAAGGCTACCACAATGGCAACTGGCCATTCTGACCCAGGTTCTCCTGGTGCCCAAACACCCCACCTCACCCATCAGTCGGAGCCCGCCAAGGCGGGGCGCCTAGTGCCCAGGCGGGATCAATGCGTGCCCAGAAACATTTCTGCTCAGTTCAACTGACACTTGTCGCTGCCACGAGGATCCACGAACAGTCTGCTCTTTCGGAGAAAGTCCAAGGGAACGCAGTCCGTCCCTCCCACCACACCAGCTTGGGGAGGAGGATCCTTGAGGCTAGGACACCGACCCCATGTGGGGAGGGGAGGCAATCAAGCATGTGGAGGCCCATGTGCACCCACATGCACAGGTGCCCTACGCAGAAACCATGGCTGTTGGGCACACACGGCCAGCGCCATTGACCTGACCGGGTGGCGCCGCCTCCCCTACTTGCTATGCCAGCTCTGGGCCAAGCAGTGGCCCGCTCTCAGGGACCAGACTGGGTGGTGGTGAGGCCCAGTGGCGGCCACTCCTCGGAGCTGCCCCCAGGACATCCTTGTGAAGAGCACCCCTGACCTGTCTTTGAGGTCTGTCACCGCAAGGAGAAAAGGGTGGCATTTATCCTTGTGCAAAGAGAGTTTAAGTTAAATATGTTCAGGCCATTCGGACTGTTTTCTACAGTACATTCAGTATCTCTTGGGAAGCATCTTGGTAGGAAACAGAAACTGAAAATTGTACATGACAGGAGCCAAGGAATACATTGCATAAAGAAAAGTGCCTCAAATAGCTTCAGATGTTTCTTGAACCCCTTTGTTGAACTTTCAGAAACTCAGAGTAAATATTATGCAATTCATTTGTGTTTTAATGATGCAAATGCCAACGAATGTATATTCTTTCAAGAAATGGATTTTTCTTCATCTAGTGCCTGCTCAATGCAGGTAAAAGGAGTTTAATTGAAACAGATACCCGGTTTCCCAAGTGTAGGAAAGGTGTATCTCCTTCCTTGAGACTGAGCAAGGAGAAAACCTTGGCAGTGTTCATTTGAGGATCTTCTCACCAGCAGCCTGGCCTCCCTGAGAATACTGGACAAAGTATTTCACTATTGCAGAAGGGCTGTCCTAATTTCCGGTGTATTCGTTTGGTATGCTCTGTACAGAACAAGGTGGTGGGCTGGACCTAGGAAATCAATAAAGAAGAACCTGGAAGGAATAGCCTGAAGAGCTGGAGCTGCCCAGGAAGGTGAGTACAGCTGGTGTGTGCTGGTTGAGCTAATTTGTCACTTAAATGGTGAGTTTTGTTGTTGCTCAGGACTTTGCATGAACCACGTGACAGATCTGTATGCTTTACCACCTTCAAGGGCCAGTTTCCAGATTACATTCACCCTCTTCCCATACCAACAGGTATTGAACTTAGATAACAAAATTCTGATCTTTGTATAGAAAGATCACCAGAAAAGAAACCTCAAATGATTGCCACCTACAAAATATGAAATGCAGAGAGTATCATCAGCTGGAAGTTTGCAAATTTGTTACGCCTGTTTTGTTTACATGTAATGACCCCACTGAACTAAGCTAAGGTGAATAACAGTGAAAAAGGCCGTCTCTGATTGACTTTTCTTATCATGCCCCTTTGTATGTATAAAGGTATAAAGGGAAGATTTAAAACCCAGAAAATGTCTATTAAAACTGTACTATGGAGACATCATCTTATGCTTTTGGTTTCTAATGAGCAGACAAGTACTGAAAAATTTCAGAAAATTCTATTCTGTGCAATAAATACAAATTTACTTTTTAGATAAATTTTGACCCTACCAAATATTAGTGAATTCCAATTGTCCATCTTGTAAATCTTCCCTTATTTAGATAAAAGATTGGTAAAGGAAGAATTTGATAGTCCAAATATAAATTGTTTTACTTGTGTGTTTAGCTTTTTGCTCCTATTTTCATACTGAATCCTTCAGTTTCCATATCCCTCCAATGACTACTTGCTTTTTAAGACTACGTACGTTTTTGGTTCTTTGGAAACTAAAAAGATGAGCTTTTTTTTAAACTTAAATAACATTATGCTAATTTGACTTTGCTTTTACTCTATTTTACTTCTTATGGGAAAAAAACTAACTGAAATTTTAAATTTGCAAACAAGCTCACATGAGAAAAGGAAAAATCACAAGATTTTATGAGGCTTTTCCTTTGTTTTATATACT